GTACTAGCTTTTGTGCATAGTAGTATAAAAAACACTTTTCCTGTTACGGTTGTTCTAGTATTTCAGTAGTTTTGGATAAAATACATTCTAACAAGTCATAGGCTTCTCTTAATCCATTGGATTTTGTTTTGCAGAATAGTTTTGTTTTGTTAATTTGTCCACTTCAGTTGATACTATAGTTCAGAGTAGACATGTACCTTTTTTGATACATSTACAAACCTTTAGTCACACTTTCCTTTATATTTTTTTCTAATTGGCTGAATGCTAGCTTAGTTTGGAGTCATGTTGCTTATACAGACCTCAAAACAAGTTTCAGAAGTGGCCAAGTATAACATTTTATTCTAGTGTAATGTTCATTTGAGAACTTTGCTGCTGTTGTCTTAAAAATATGAAGGCAAATATCTTTGACTAGTCATGTGAATTTGAATGTATAATTATACCTATACTGTTATTTTATCCACATTCCTTGGTGCATTTTTCTTGCCMTCCCTAATATGAGGACTACTCTGTATTGGTGCAGGCTTTCAGAACCTAAACCAGACTTTCTGGTGTTGTGCTATCTAAAAATGCCTTATGTTTCTTTTAAAGAAACTTGAAAATTTTAAAATATGTTTTTTTGGAACAGCCAAATTATGTGGGAGGCTCTTAAAATAACTTTATGTTCTATTACACTTGTGTTTTTTCTTGTATTTTGTACAATAACCATGTTCCATTAATTAAAAGGGATAGTGTCTGTGATCAGAAGCCCTTTCCAGACAGTCTGACACTGATTTAGGAACTGATTCAGCCCTTCCAAGGCTTTTGTTAGTTGAAATTAATTTGTAACTATGAGTGAAATACTAGTGTCCAAATGGAACTATTTCATGGAAAACAACCAAAAAAAAACAAAACCCCCCCCAAAAAAAACCTAGAGAAGACACAGAGATCAAAGGAGCAATTAAGTAATCCTGTGTTAGTTTCTTTCCCTTTATTTCCTGCTTGGGCACAGAAGGGCTTGGACATGCTGAGGATTAGGAAGGTCTGATTGGACTACCACACAAGAAGACAATTCTCTGGGAATGGATATTAACCCTTTGGAGCCAGGTGTAATTGTAATAGGAAGGTGAAGTAGGTGAAGCTAGTAGTTTCTCCCTTTCTCAGCTGTAAATTCTGCATTAAATGCAGTTCTTGTGATGTCTTTAAACACACACTTTAGAAACACACTTGTTATTTATTATTTGCTAGAAATCACCCTCTTCGTTTGATATGTACTCGATGTTGCCTTTGTACTCTGTCAGTGGTACTCATCCATTCTAACTGGGGCTGTTTCTATTGCCAGATGAGTATGGAGAGCTTTGTGCCAAGTATCAATTTAACGTAGCCTGTGCTGAAGCCAGCAATTCCTGTTACAATCCCCTGCAGCAATGTGCACTCCTTGGAAAAGGTGATTTGCAGGAGAGTTTCTAATTCCTGTCTGGCTTGTCATCTGCTGATCCCCTGCTGTGCTCTTTGTTTGCCCCTTTCTTGAAAGGGCAGCAGCAGCTACCATCTGCTTATGGCTTGAAGTGGTTTGCGTGCAGCTGGCTGGTACATGTCACTCTTTGTGGCAGTGCTTACTGCAGGTGGCAAGCTGTTGGGTTGATGGATGCCTCTCTTTGTGGAATACCAGCAGTCACGGAATATTTTYGCATTTCATCTTTGTTTAGGATCAGTAGTAGTAGACAGTATTCTGTGAGAAGGCATAGTGCTAAATGGATGTGTTTTTTATTCATAACTGTAGCTTTTAAAAAATGCTTATTGTGCGTTCGTGCTAATGYATGATATTACCTAGGCTTGTTTTTAAAGGTGAGTTTATTTCTTTTATGATTTCTTCTGGATTTAATAAGTGATATGTAATATATTCTTATGTGCTATTTATTATTAATAATTTGTAAACACAGATATCTGGTAGTATTAATGAAGGAGTGGCTTAATTGCCTTGTAAATAGTGTATCCCAACAAAATAAAGAAGTGTCTTCAAGGACAAGGAAAGCATCTCTTGTTCTTTGTTCAAAGAAATCCTTGAAGTGGTTATTTCCACATACAGTTGCAGACTTCCCTAATTTCCAGGAATTTTAGATCCTGTTGATAGAATAAATAGTTTGGTTTGTGTTTTGCGTGTTTATAATTGTTCTTTTGTGCTTACTGTGACTCCTGAGTAGATTAAAATCCTCATTGCCTCGTCTGAAAGCATAAAGTGTGATTCTGACTTACACTGCAGCCTTTTTAAGTTTCAGTTCAAAGACTTCTGCCTTTCTTGTTGCCTTTTCTTGAGCTATTTATAAAAAATACCTTATTATGAATAAATATTTGTTAGTATTTTTTTGAAAGTCATGACTGTTCTTCTTGTTGGGCATTTTTTATTTTGTTTGGTTTTGTTGGGTTTTTTTTTTTCACTGAAGGCAAAGTTGCCTCTCTTACTTTGTAACATGAGAGACCAGGGGCTACCCTGGTGGTCTAAACCCTATTGTTTCAGGCACACTGTAAATCTGAAGCTAAATCTTTTTGATTTCTTTCCCGAAGAGCTGAGTGCTTTCTTGAGAACGTTTTGAGTACTTCCAAGAACACAGTTGATGCATACTGTCCCGTGTGAAAAAAGTGACTGGATTATATAAATTGGTATTCCTAGTCTGCCAAAGAGCGAATACCTTCTCCCATTCCTGCTGTCATGTCTATACAGCTTTCGTTGGCTGGCAGCAGAGTTTGGCTCTCGTAGGCCCGGGAAACATGCTGTGTGTGCATTAATATTTCTGTTAAAAAATACATGACAAAATATTTTTGAGAGAAAGTTAAATATACTTCATGTTAGCATGCAGGGTAACTAATATGTAAAGTATGAGTTACTGGAATTCCAGTATGTTTCTAGCTTGTGAATATTTTTTGTGGTTATTTAAAAAAAAACAATAAAAAAACCCCAAACTTAAAACAACCTTCCCTTCCCTGACTTTCTAAGAAGGCCTACTCAGTTTGCATTCTGCCATTCCAAACTCATTGAATGTACATAATATCAAAGAGCTCTTCAACCAGAAGCTACATTGTTTTCTTTCTTCCTTTTAGAAGATGATGTACTGTAGGCATCTRTGATAATCTTGTAAACGCATAAGTGTTTTATAGAAAAAGACTATAGACTGTTTTATAGACTCAGTGTTTTATAGAAAAGAGATTTCTGCATGCCTAGGTGCCACATGGTAATGTTATGGATTTCTTCCTTAGCATGTTACTTGAGCAGTGCTGCTGTGTAGTAGAAACTTGGCATTTGGTGCTTTTTGGCATGTGGTTTCTGCTATGGACTGACATGGAAATGCCTTTGTAGGTACACCTGTGTGTGCAGGTACTTTTACTAGGGTAACTAAGGTAGGTACTGACCTTTGCTGTAACAATTTTTGGAATAGGAGACCAATTTTAGGTCATTTTTTGTCCTGAATTTTTTTTAACCTTTTCACTTCTTGTGGTGCAAGTGACTAATGCTGTCCCCTGAACAATTCCCTTCCCTTGCTTCTTAGGGGAGCACTACTCTATATGTTCCCTCTCTTCCCTGGCAGAAGTAAGGCTAACAATCAGCATGTGTCCCTCTCTAGAAATTGTTTTGCTCTGATTCAGCCTTCAGTTAAGCCATTACTGAATACAGTTCAGGACTAAACAACTTGATTGAGGTTGTGTAACCTATGCTACAGATACAATCAGGTCTGCAAAATACATGTTCTACTTCTCTTTTTGTAAGTATCATCTTTATGGTGTCTGCACAGGGTGTACATGCCAGATTCTTCATCACAGGTGTGAAATACTCTGTGAGCTTTGAAGATTTATCTTTTTTTTTTTTTTTTTTTGTTAAGTATTCATGTAGTTTTATAGTAGTGTAGTATCTGACTAGGTGGTGTCATCATCATCAATCTATCATTTTGGTGTTATCTCTGAGAAATTAGAACAGAAATCATCTGATGTAAAGAACTTTATTAAGAGAGAGGTGCCAACTTAATTTTGAAACTTACCCCACTGGATAAATTTCAGATGAATTAGGATTTTGTCAGGAAGAATGATTGTTTGTTTGTTTTAGTATTTAATGTTATTTTAAGTTTAACTGTCAAACACAAAATCTTAACAGACATAGTAAGATATATATGAATAAATAAGGGAGAGATTGAGTTGTTAAAAAAAAAGGGTCATTATTGACTCCCTGTATCACTGAAATGTTCATCATTGACTAGATCACACCTTGGCTTAAGGTTTTCCATTATGGAATTTAATTAGAAAAGATTGGAAGGATTTCTTTGTTCATCCCATCTGTCTACCAATAATTCAAATTCTCATTCTTTGTTATTGTGGTGAGAAGTAAGACCAAAATATCRTTGTCAAATTTTCTTTAAAACTGTGTGCTTTAAATTTGGGAATACAGTGTAGGATAGCAAGTAGAGACAGGCTGTAGTGAGTTAGAAATCTCTTGGATTTTTATTTTATCAAAAATTAATTCAAATATATGCAAAGAATTTCATATCTCAATTTCTGATCCATGATAAATAATGTTTATTTTGAGAGTCTTGYCTTTACACTTCAAAATGTTTCAATATGAAACTACTTTTACGCATTATGTACCAGCGGACATAACGTACCAGTGCTGTTTCACTGGGACAGAAATTAGCAAAGTGAAGGCAAAAGGTGAGACTTTTCAAATCTCTACCTCAATCTAGCTCTAAGAATAATATTGAAGTATGGCTAGTTAGGAATGTCTTGTCTTCTGTTTAACCTCAGACGCATTTTTAGACTGTTGGTTGTTCTTCCTCTGATGTTTATGGAAGTGGTTCGATTTTAAAGGAAATCTGAATTCATTTGAGATGGGATTTGGATAGCAGGGAAATGCACTCTATTTTCAAAAGTAGTTCTCTTTGTTGAACTAATTTCTAAAATTGAAGTCAATGTAATGAGTGTATTGTATATGGAATGTAATCAAAGAAAATACTTTATAATGTCTTCCATATTTCTCACAGGTTGTGAAGATGAGAAAAGATGTGAAGAAGGCCAGAGTCCTGACTATTCGCAGACTAACCAGACACATCGGGAAATTAAAATTGAAAAAGTCAGTTTTAAATAATAGTGTTCTTGTTTGTGTTTTTATAAATGAGGCAGTATTTTAATGGTTTTTGCAAAAATGGAAAAGGAGGGGGAAAGTGTACTACATTTAAAACTTAAGGCTCTAAAATACGTAAATTCTATTTTTTTATTTTTACATTATTTTGGTTAGACTAAAAATGCTAACTAAAAGGGATTTCATAAAGCAGAGTTGGAGTGACTCTTTTAATGGGATTTATTGTATTGGAAGGTAATTGAATCAGTTACAGTACCTTTTACTGTAAAGTGTTGCTTTTTAAGATTTTGATCTTTAGGCTATTCTGCTGTTCAAGTTAAGTTGCACCATGTTTTCTCACTGTAGTCTTCAGGGTTGTGGAGCAAAAAATATTTTCAGTTTGCATAGATATACAGATCATACTTGCTTTTTAGTAATTACTGTTAATTAATTCTTACATAAACAGTTTAAACATTATTTTGTAAATTATGTTTTCAAATATTACTGGCCCCAAATAACTTACCATGTGTCTTATTTGAGATTGTGTGAGATACATCTGTTACTGTGTTCACAGTGTAAATTGAGCATACTCTTCTCTCACAATTTTAGTAAGTTGAGAAAAGTAAGAAGCAAGCCTAATGAACTTCCATATTTAAATATTACAGATCTTAACATTTCAKTTTATTTGAGACAATGGTGTCACCTATTGTTGATATGAATTGTGATGTATATTTTCTGATACAGTAACATTTGTTTTTCACATTGTTCTGGTAAACCTTCACAGTTCTCTCCTCTGTTCAGACCAGCAAAAGCATTAGGCTATGTTCAGTTGTTTGCTAAAATGTTCATTTCACAATAAGGGATTGTATTTATCCTCCATCTTGTGATTTATTTTTTTTTGTTTTTACTTTGCTATTGGGTATTGCCAATGGGTAAATAAAACAACTAAACAGATTTTCTTAATAAAGACAGACTTCATTTGCAGGGGTTCAGAAGACTTGAAATTAAAGAACCAAAAACGAGTTGAGAGATTAATAGAAGAAATCCATGCCATGAAGGTAATKCCATGTTTAGATATTTCAATATTAGAGACAATTATTTTAGTAACTAAAAGCCTTATTTGTTTTCTGCAGGTGCATTAATGAAACTTAAGGTATTTTCAGAGTCAGCTTGAACATTAGCACAACTAAAAAATTATGAATATTTTTGTCTGTCAAGGTGTTAGACTGTTTGAATATTAACCTTTGCAGGCTAAATACGAATACGTTTAGCAATGTGTGGTGATTGAGTTTTTACTGGAACAGTTAAAGCACAGAATTTAAAGTTCTTGTGCTGCTCAGGAATGTGGGGAGGTGTTTTGTGTGTCCTCATTGTCTATTCTCCAAGCTCTAGATATCATTCCATTTGTATTTTACTTTCAACTTCAGAGTTCTGTAACAGTTTCAGATTTCAGCTGTGAGGGACTGGTAACTCTTGAGTGAGACCTTTTTCTAATTTTRAGTCAATCTGTCAGTTGAGAGAGTTTTTATATCTTTAATGTTATGACAAAAAAAGAAAAGGCTTCATAAATTTTATAACTTCGTGACGATTTGTAGTAATCTCTCCATTTTAGTTGTTACTACATAAAATGATGTGTGCTGAAAGGAGTAACAAATTCAAGTCATAGGGCTTGAGCACTTGCAGAATCTTGGATAGGCCATGACAAATGTTTTCTCRCAATATGGCTGTTTTGAGAACTGTAGTCCATAACTGTAGTGATTACATCATGCTTACCATTGTGTGCGGTTATGGGAGGTTATTGGTTTTTGCGATTTCTCTCTTTCTTTCCTCAACCTTACAAAGATCTTACTCTTCAGAAAACATTAGTAACAAGTGGCTCCACTGACCGATTTAGATGTGCTTTGTGCCAAACTGATCAGGTAGAGTCATATGGACTTTTGGCATAATACTTTCAGTAAGAGTCCTCATAAACCGGTAAAGGGGAAAAGAAAACGGGCAGCACTACTCAAACACCATGACAATAGTATTGAGGCACTCTACTTTACTGATTTGATCTCAGTCTTAACTTGGTCTTGTGTTTGCTCCTTTTTTTCTGAAATTTTTACTTTAGTGGTAAGTTGATGYGTGGCTCAGTTTCTAGGAGAATGTATGAGGTGATATGGCGTGGTGCAGCACTGAGCTCATAAGGCCATATTTTATGGGGCTTTTGTGATTGTTCTTGGGAGAACGTCACTGCAAGACTCGTTCTGCACATGTTTACCAGGAGTTTTTCTTTTGTCCACGTTGTGCTTTTCTTTCCAGATTTGTAGTCTAGAGAGCTGAAGTCAAATTTTGCTCTGAAATAGTTGGTAGAAAGGGAGAACTCTTCAAGGTAAGCAGCTGAGAAGGAAAAGCTCTCTCACTTTTTGGGCCGATAGCTAGTAAATGTGCTTGCTTATCTGAAATTTAAAGTGCTGTAAGTTGAATTTATTGTTAAAAAAAACAATGCACCATTATATTAATATTTAAATAGGAAAACGGTTGGGTTACTTGGAGATTTTTAGTCAYGAAAAATGTTCAAGTCGATACTAGCTCTACAGTGTATTTGTTTCTTAGTAGAAAGAGAAATTCCTTTTTCTTATGAATCACTACCTAAAAGGCACTAGTTTTTTACATATTTTTTCAACCATTGTTCATTTCTAGTGTAACAGAGATTTTTACAGTTGGCATAGAAATATTCCTCATTCAGCATGAAAAAGTAAAAAAGCTTTCACACGAACTGATAGTGTTATTTCAGGTGAGTGGAAGATTTTGTATTGGTGACATTTCCAGCAACGTTTTGTCCCAGGTTACTGATCATAAGATTTGCATAACTCAAATGGGTAGTTTAGAATTTTAAGGAAAGATTGGAATAATAAAATAGAACGTGATCTATAAAATTGCARTTTAGAATAGGCTTGAATTATGTAGATTACTCTAGCAGTTTTAGCATGASGACCTCTGCAAAGAGCAGTTCAGTGAAAAAGACAAAAAAATCCAAMAAAATAATTACAGCAGCCAAAGTGGTTCAGAGCCAGAAAATGCATGTTACACCAGAGTCTGATAGTGTGTGTATATTCAGGTTTAAAGATTCACTGAAAGGGTTACTTACRACTTCTGGAAATTCTTTATTGGTTGGAGACTTTAAGGCTTTCTGTAGGTTGAAGAAAATAGTACAATTTTTCTTCGAAGTTTTTTGCAGTTGCCAAAGTCACCCTTTTCTAAACATCAATCCTTTTTCTTTCATCAGTCAAGAACAGACCCAGACCTCCTTTCTCCTTATCATATATCAAAAAAAAAAAAAAAAAAAAAAAGCCTTATGTGGGCTGTTGGCAACAAAGTCGTTGGAAGGACTTTATGTATTCTGATGACCTCAGAAGGCATTACTGGCGGATTCCATTTGCAGGGAATTTGTTTCAATCTCAAGGAAGTAAGCTGAATTTCTGGAACCTTGACACAGTTGTTTGTATTACTGAAGTTTTTAATGCAATGGCTTAAGTTTATCTTATTCAGAAAAATAAAATCTAATGGTTTGTAAACTTAATCAGGTAGAATTCTTTGCTTTCTTAAGAATTATGTTTCTCAGTTCAGCTGCTTGTAAACCCACAAACTTTTTGTAATAGTTAATTTACTTGGGGAATCTGTTTCTTGGTTAATAGTGTTTCAGTATGGCTGCTGCCACTTTGTGGAGCAAATGTCTTTCATCCAGGCTGTAACCAAAAAAAAAGCCCTGAAAATCCCAATACACACAAAAAAAAAACCTCCAAAACCACTTGCCTGATGGGGGCAATGCTTGGAGTCTGCCTGCAATTCAGCACAACTTTCCTGAATTGAACAAATTTGAACTTTCTGTTACAGGATTTTAACTTCTTGTTCTCTTGTGGATCTTTACTAACTGCAGTCTGATATAATAGGAAGAACAAAATACTTGCTCTTATTAACAGCTGTATTACTAACTCCCAGGAAGTTAGTGATRATAGGGATGCTATTTCTCTGTCTTCAAGTAAATTCTGAACAGACAGTGCTGATGTGATATCACTATAAATACACTCCTTTCTGAAGGAGTAGGACAGTATTAGATGCTTTTACTTTTTAGGTTTAATACTGTGTCCATGTATTTTTTTAATATGCTCTACATAGTCATGCATGCACAGTTCGGCATAAATTGAAAATCTAGGAAGTGTTGGTGCTGGACTGTATTGAAAAACCTTTTTTTTATTTGAATTTGCAAGTAGTATGTATTGTATTATTGTTAGAATGGCATTAATTTTTTTATTCTTTGTATTTTCATTAGAACTGAAGAATTAAAAAGCACTTAACTGGCACATACAGTTAAAAGTGTCACAAGCACAGCAGTCAGAAGTAAACATTGTGAAAAATGAGAGCAGTTAAAAGTTCCAACTACGTGGATGCAGGAACTGGGTTAATTGTTTGCAGGAGTTCTCAAAGCTATTGGAATAATACTCTGGTTTTTGAGTTCTTAAGCTTTCATTTTGCCAAAACTGTATAAAATATTTTTTCAACCATTCATGAAAGATGGGAAAAAAGGAATGGTATGATGCTTTCTAGTCTTCTGCTGTGATACTACTTCTTTGAAATATAAAATCGTGTGTACTTACAGGTGTTTCTTTACTTGTTTGTCAGGCTTGATGATACTATCAATATGTATTAATTGTCCATAGTAGAGTACTGTGTATTGTTTAGGAAACTTTTTCTTCTGAAGCTTCTTTACACAAAAATCATGGATTGCCTAGTGTTTTCTTAACAATGTGTAGCTTATCTTGAGTTGTTTAAGTTTCTTGGCTGAAGTGGGATCTTAATATAATCATTGTTTCTTTGCCATGTATCTAGGAGTACTTTTGCCTCTATCTTACAACGAAAACCTTAGCATTATGGCAGGTGTTCCTATAGCAATATTGTGTGTGTATATATATATATATATATATATATATATATCAATATTGTGTTTGGAGGATGCCCATTAAGCAAACATGGATAGAAGGTTATTTGTAGTGCTTGAAGGAAAAGCATCTTCCAGTTATCAGGAAGGAGCAGCAGTTGGTTTCAGCCATTTTCAAATGTCTTGGAAAGATAYGTTCTCTACCCTGAAAATTAGCACTGGAGGAACAGATCACTTAACACAAAAAGAGTTTTTTAATCCTCTTAAGCCACAATATTTATCACAGAATAATGAGTTTAGTACAAGAGATGGAGGAAAGGATAATGCTCTACATTGTTTTCTCTCAATTTCATATTTTAGCAAGATGTTAACAGAAGTAGACTTAAATATGAGCTCCATTATTAAGGTTCGAAAGCTAAATTGTTTTATAAAAACRGAACTTTGAAGGATGTTTTCACACTCTGTGTCCTTGGAACAACAATCAGTGAATTTCCTGAAAGTAATAGTGGTGAGGGTGAGAGGGCTTTTGCTCATGGCTRGGTAACTGATAAGTTTTATAGTAGGTCAGCTTAAAGAACTTGGTAGGTCTTTGTTGTATGGCTATTTTGCATGGTATTTTTGTATCCTGAAATACCAGGTTTTTTTGTAAAGCTTTAAAATTTTCTTTTAGCAGTAGTGTTTTCTTTCTTGGTTAATGTTTCGTCTTCTGTTATCTGGGTTTCAGTTAACATCTTGCTATAAAATTGCCTTAAGTCAGAGTGGGAACTAATGCACTTTTTTGTAGCTTTGCTTTTTCTTTCTCCGGCATGTGTTCCCAACAGTCTTGCATATTTTGTTTTAAAATAGATAGCAAACATTCATCTTAATGTTATAAAATCTTTATCCTTTAAMAGTTTTTGTAATAATAATGGGATGTGCTTAAACTTCAGTGTGGTCAGCCCAGGAACTGTCCTTGATCTTCTCAACAAGCCCAGAGGGCATGGGTGGTTCTGCTTTTGCAGTGGTGTGGGCCAGATGCCACTTGTAGACCACTTCAGGGAAAGATGAAGGGGTAGAATTCAAAGTTATTCAGCTCTTCTTCAGTTGAAAAGCCCAGATCCTTGCTTTGGTGCATGTCTGACTTTTTATCCATGCATCCCT